TTTGTTTTTCTAGGGGAAGGAAGGTCGTGCGAATTTTCAAACCAGGCGTGCGAATTCGTGCGAATTACGTGCTAAATGTCTGCAGAAGAAAATTTGCGAAAATGTTAATTTGGACCTCCGGGGGGGCTATAGAAACGTTTTGCCAGCCACCCCCATGAATTTTTGTTTTTCTAGGGGAAGGAAGGTCGTGCGAATTTTCAAACCAGGCGTGCGAATTCGTGCGAATTACGTGCTAAATATCTGCAAAAAAAAAATTGCGAAAATGTTGATTTAAACTATGGGGGGGGGGCTGGCAAGACGTGTTGCTGGCCCCCCCCATGGATTTTGATTTTTGAGGGGGAAGGAGAGTCGTGCGAATTTCAAAACTAGGCGTGCGAATACGTGCGAATCACGTGCTAAATATCTGCAAAAAAAAAATTGCGAAAATGTTGATTTAAACTTGGGGGGGGCTGGCAAGACGTGTTGCTGGCCCCCCCATGGATTTTGATTTTTGAGGGGGAAGGAAGGTCGTGCGAATTTTTAAACCAGGCGTGCGAATTCGTGCGAATTACGTGCTAAATATCTGTATAGTTTGTTTACAGTTTTTCCTTTGGGGGGGGGCTGGCCAAACGTACGTCACTATTCTAGAGTCTCAACCAGTCTTGTGAAGAATGCTTTTATTTTGTATTCGGAATACCTACATAGGTATTCGAATAAATGAGTAGGTATTAAAGTATTCCGAATACGTATTCGTCTACCGGACTACCCATTAAAAAAATATATTCTGAATACATATTCAAATACTAATAGAATATATTTTTTTACACCACTAATATTCAATTTTGTTTGAATGGTTGGCAATAAACGTGTTTCAATCATATTTCATTCAAAGAGAATAACTATTGTTTATAACTTAGGTAGGTACCTATAACGTGCCCGATTTTTAATAGAAAAATTTGTTTCGTCACAAATATAAACTATTTTTTAATGAATAAAAAATAAAAATACAAAAAAAAATATTCAAAATACGCAGGTATCCAAATAATTTTTTCAAAAAGTATTTAAAATAGTATTCTGATAAAATAAAGACTTTGAATACTTTTATTTGAATACATTTATTCGAATACTTTACACTTTACAGTACTGGTCTTATCCGCATCCACCCGCCACAAGCCCAACCTATTGATTTTGGTTGAGGCACAGGCCTCAAAAAACAGCCTTCGAAACCACACAGTCTGTATGATATTTTATAAAACAAAATAATTATTACTTGATGAATTAACTGTCGCCAATTTTATCCCTAGGTTATTTGCACATACCAAACACAATGCTTACACTTTGAAACTTAAAACAAATCTTTATCAACAGGCCCTACAGGGTATAAAGCAGAGAGTACTTAGGTATTGATCAAAGACACAACTTATAACAAAATATTTCTGAACATTTTTAATAGCTTTTTTCGTTGTGATATATTCTAGTATTAAAATGAATAAATAATGCTCCTTTAAGATGGTAGAGTTTGTTTATTTTTTGTTTATTTAAGTCTCCATTGATTTAAATTTACCATTTACCTTTAATTTCAAATACTACCTACTATTTCAGTTGCAATGTTATCTTTTACATATTATTAATAATAAACAATTCAGATAATATTTTGTGAAAAAACCTCATTTTGTTCTATAAATTTATTTATTTTTCTTAATTCTCACTTAATTTTCCCATCACCGGTGTTTACATAATATACATTTGATCAAAAACGGTAGTAAGCAATTTCGAAAATGCCTAATGCTGTAGCCAATATCAACAAGCTACCACTAAATTCTTAAATAAATTAGGTAAAGTATGTTTACTGTTTAGTATAAAGTTATTTTAGTACCTGTTTAGTAGACTACTGTTTTAGTAAAAACAGTAGTGAGTATTTTAGTATTCAGCAAAATATATTGATGTATCCTGTATAATATATTGGATTTCAAATTTCAATATTAAACAATATTTTAGATTCTGAGCGGAGCAAGAATCTAGTGATTTTACAATGGTGTTTATTTTTTTTTCTTATCCTTTATACAAAATTTCTACCAGAAAGAGTGCTTTGATTTCAATATTTAGTATCCTTTTTAGAAAATTGGAAGAATATGATGGTACTGTATAGAGGTAATTTTTCGATTTGCCCAATAGTTATTAAATGCCACTGGAAAAACCACTGACAAATTACAAAAAACATTTAAAAATTTGGGGATTTTAATTTCTAACGCTTTGTTTATCACCATAGAAACGAATTAAAATAAAAATACCGATTTTAGTTAATTTTTTGTAATTTATAATATTAATTCAACTTGCAGGCTATAATAAAATATAATAACAATATAAAATATCCAGACTGACAAACCGTCTGGTCTCCGATCAAAATCGTTTTTCGTATGCAATGCTATGATATTGAATTCAAATTTAATACAATTCATTAAACCACTTGTAACCTACTGTACAACAGAGCGACATCCAATTACCCGCTTTTGTTGAAATTTTAACTTCAAAATGTTATAACTTATAATAAATATTGAGAATATGTATTTTAGACATTTTTTTCTTATTGTAGTACATATTTTAGTGCTTACGGCTTACCTATAAACTTTGATAATAAAATATTAAAATATATTATAGTTAAAAATTATACCTATAGATAAATATTTTAGATTATATATAATATATATATTATTGTGATTGGGAACTATTATATTATTCCACCTATATTTATTATTGTACAAATATAATCTTAGATATAGCCATATAGGTACCTACTTCATACTTCTTAGAATTCTAGATAAGTAGGTAGCTGCAGTAGTGTAGAATGTAGATTGTTTTAATGTTTTATAATAGATATTACCTTGGTATTTGGTATTAATATTTATTATAAGTATACATAACATTTAAATACTAAAATACCTTTTTCTTATCATATTTTATATACCCAAGACCCAAGTACACAAATGTATTTTATATCTTAACAAGTAGATATGGAAATTAGACTATTAAAAGTAGGTAAGCACCTATACTTAACTCTGATCTCCTCTCAGCTCTTGTGAATCCGTAGAAAGATTAGGTAAAGAGTAGGTAACACTTAAGATGAGGCATTTTAGGATGAATAAAATATTCAACTTTAGACAGCAAAGATTATTATATTTCAAAATACTACATATGACTACAAATTGACAAACACAATACCTTCAATGACTAACTACTAAATAGGTATAATTTAATAACAAACTACAATATTGTTTATACCTAATAATTAATAATCAAATCGTCTTAAAGCTATATCACGACGAATCGACTTCCTGTTATCTACCTACAATAATATGATAATTGATATTGTTGAGTTAATAAAAGCAAACATTTTCGGGTACTCTGTGTAAAATCCGTTGACCACATTTTAATATAATATTTAACAATTTTACATTTCGTTCAAAATTATTAGATATCTAAAGATTATGTTTTCTATGTCAGAGAAAAAAATATACACTTATATGTTTATAGAAAGTTATATTATATAAAATTGTAATATTGTTATATGAATTTAGCCAAACGAGATAAATATATCAAATGCTACCAAATGTTTTCATTGTAAAAACTACTTTAATAGTGGAAAATATTTTTTATTTTTGGAACCCAAACTACTATTTAGTATTTGCCAATTAATGTGTTTTTGTATATTTTATAATAATAATTTTTGACGATTAAATAATAATAAACTTACAGTGTTGTAACTTTAATAGTTTCACATTACGAAGTGAACAATTTGAAAAAAATGTGTAATAAGATAATATAGGTTATATAGGTACGTAATGTTTTAATATTTGATATCATAACGAATCATAATAATATTTAATTAATATATTTTTGACCGTTTTAGCTAGGTACATTTTTATTGAAAAAATTTCAAATTCTACATGCCTATAAATATACTCGATTACCAGAATTTGGAAAAGCAAGGTTTGAAAAAATGTCTCGAGCCATACAAAATCGTTGTGTCTTTAATATTTATGAATTCGTCTGTGTTTAAAATTTAAAAATACCAAATTTTACCTGCTTAGAATGAGTTGACTTACATATATTTACCTATATTATATGATGATTAAAAAAATAGTTGGATAGAAATGGGCCTAATCTATTCAAATTTTAATATTTTCTGTAATTATTTTTATTATGTATATAATACCATTGTATACTATTGCGTTTATTAATTATTTAATTTATGCACATAATTATTGTTACTATTAATTACATTAATTTTGATTAGGCAAATTAAATAAATAGTTTATTCAAATTTTTGATATTTATATTATAAATAAAAAACATATATATATATAAATATATATGTGTTAAAAATTGAAAAGTGGTATAAACTATTTAATTATAAATTAAAATTCATTATTATTGACAAATCTAAAATATCGTTGATAGTTTATAATCAAATAAGTACGTTTTGAATAAAGCAAGCTGATTAAAGACAATAAAAAACAGTTTAAATGAGAAGGTGTTCCCATTGAATATCATTATTAAATTTATGAGAAGGTGCAGTTATTTTGTTTTAATTTTTAGTTTTAAAATCAGAATTAACGGAATATATTTGAATTTGGAATTAGATCATTGTATTCCGAAAACATAACTCTTTGCCTGGCTAGAACATCCATTTTTTGCCCGTGCTTCTTTTAGGATTTGTATCTATGGTGACATGTTGAAAAATGGCGAATTGAGCACTTCATGGGAAAATGTTTGCACCTGTAGATTATTATTTGTTATTGTGGCGGGACATAGGTAACTACTGTGGAAGGAAATAACTTAGAACAGTGAAATATTTTATGTATTTTATATTTTAATGTGTTTTGTGTTCAGGGCGATCATTAGGGGTGAGGACGACAACAGATATGAGGTGAGCAGGAAATAAAATGTTTTTGGCGATAGATCACGGTCATTACTTATCGTAAGTGCATGAAGGGAGTGGGGGCGAAGAGATAGGACACCGTTCATCCCAAAAGTCTGTATAAGATGTAAGGGTAGGAGTGGTGATGCTGCTGTTTGGGGCGGACTATGTGACGGCTGCGATTGGGGTGATCGGTATACGCGTCGTAGTTGGCAATTTTCCGGTGGTTAGCGGGAGCGGCGGTTGTAGTGGCTGCGACGGTAGAGGTGCTCTCAGTGGGAGTGATGGTGGAGGTGGTCCTGGCGGTTGTAGTGATTGCGGCGGTGACGGTGGCGGCTGCTACATCGGTGGCGGTGGACGTGACATCGAACGCAGCAGTTACGGAGGCACTGGTCATGGTGGTAATGACAGCGTCGTTGGCAGTTTTGGCCGGCAGGGACGAAGGGGACGACGGGATCAGGTTCCAGTTGTTGTTGTCGTCATCTGATTCGTCGACGGTAACGGAGGCCACGGGTGGCGATGTGCCGGATACCATGTTAGTGGTAGCTGTTTCGGCGGCGGCAGGGTATGTGTTGTTGAGGGAATCGGTAGGTCTGGCAGAAGCGCTGATGGTGGTAGAAGCGGCCATGGCCAGCGGTGTCGAATAACGCTTAGTCGCCTCATTGTTATCGTTCGTGGTGACGGGACTGGAAAACGTGGTGGCCGAGGTGCTGGAAAACGGAGTGGCGGTAGGCTTGCGCACGTAATCTCCGTCGTCATTGATCGGCAACCCGGGGAAATCGATTTTCTTGTACACGTGAATCGGTGGCTCAGTGGTCGGGGCGTCCTTCGTGGTGGCAACGTCTCCGTCACCGAAATTGGCGTATGACCGCAGTGCGTTCAACGGGCGGCTGGTAGTGCTGGTGGCCGAGGTGGAGGCAACAGTGTACGGTATTTTAGCCACGACCGTCGCGATGGCTGCCAGCGTGGCAGCGGTTGGCCGGCGACCGTTGGCCCGGCGGACGTCACCAGTCTCGGCGGTCAGTATTTTGGCCACGGTGTGTATCTTCTCGGTGGTCGTAACTTGTGCAGTCGGTCGGCTCCTGGGCAGGCCGGTGGTGGTGGTGGTGGCGTAGATTGGGGCGTTGGCGTTGGTGTTAACGGTGGTCGTGTATGCCGAGTTTCCACGTTGGCGACTATGATGACTGTTACTGGTTGTGGTCGGGGTTCCAGTCGGCTGGCCGCTAACGGTTGTCACAGTGCGACCGGTTGTGCCGGTTTTTGTGGCCGAGGTGGTCGCTTTATTTACTGTGGTCGCATGGGTCGTGGTGCCGGACGCTGTACTATAGTTGACCGAGCCGGTATGAGTCGTGGTCTCGGTAGCAGTTGCAGCAATAGGTGTCAGTGTCGTCGTTTTTTTCATGGTTATCGTCGATGAGGTTTTTGGTTCGCTTTTCGGTGTGGAGCTAGTAGTGCTGGTAGTGCTAGCGCTGGTAACGGAGCTCGTGCTGGACACGGAGCTGGCGGTGCTAGTGCTAGTACTGGCGGTGCTAGTGCTAGTACTGGCGGTGCTAGTGCTAGTACTGGCGGTGCTAGTGCTAGTACTGGCGCTGATGCTACTAGCGCCGGTGCTGGTGGCCTCGACCTGACCTCCGATAAATGCCGAATCAATGCCGTTGGTGTCGAAACTTCCTCGGCCCGAAGACTTTATCGGTTCTTGGGCGATCGACATCTCTTGTGGCAAGTTGATGATGCCACCACTACCGCGACCCATCACTTTAGATATCGACTGGAACGTTTCGTCGTTGTATTGAGCAATCGTGGCCATTTCGATGGCGTAGTCTTCAACATCTGAAAACGATATGCAAATTAATGTATTTATTTATTTATTTAAACTGGCTAATGTCCAATAATAATTTTAAATATAAGTCTGACAACAAAGGTGTATTTAAAAAAAAAAGAAGGGAGAGACGGAGAATAATATTCTTAAATATTATAGTAACCTGAAATTAGCAAACCGTTTTATATTTTTGAGAATACGGTAAAAATGGCCAAAGATATTACCCTTTTTCAGTGACGTGGAAGTTACTTTTTTTAGTAATTAATTACAAATTAGTTACCTTTAAAAATTGTAACCAAATTATTCTCAAGTTCCTTTTATTGGCCAAGGACATTACTTTTGAGTTTTGAGTTAGAAAATAACTTTATTACAATCAAAATTATACTTAGTTCCTTCAAAAAGGTCAATGGAGCCTTCTAATTTCTTTATCAATACATTAACTAAGTAATGAAAATTAACAATATGAAATAATATAAAATATTTAATTAAGAACCAAAGAAGAACTAACTATGCTTTTTTAAATTTATTTTAAATAATAATGAATTTTCAAAATAAAAAATTTAAAATCAGAACTTCTTTCCAAATAACTATTACTAAAATGTTAGGTAATAGTCAGAAAATCGTACTTATATAATATACTTATTATAAGTTGGTACTTAAGTTGTAAGTATTAAAAAAAAATAAAGTAACGGTTAATTTCAGTAATTTTACTACAAACAAGTAACTTATATTACTTACAGATTACTTACAATCAAATGTAATTCAATTACCACCAAATTTCTTAAAAAGTAGTTTGTAACAGTAACTTTTAACTTAAGTTAAGATGTTAAGTTAGCCCCCCAATACTGACCTTTTTCATACGCTTGTTGTCACAATAATAATATATTGAATTGAAAAATGCTGTTTTTAATTTGCAGTGTTGAGACTTATCTAGATAAATTTATCTAGATATTTCATCTAGATAATATTTATTTATATTTTATCTTATCTAGATGAAAATGTGGATAGGTATCTAAGGGTTATCTAAGATAAAAAAATCGTTATCTTTTTAGTAATTATCTAGATAATATAAGTAAATCGAAAAAAAATTTTTTTTGAGCGCCCTGTATGCAACTCATCTATGGAGTCCATTTTATAAATTTCAAATAGAAAATAGTCATAATGTTAAATATAGTAAAACACGATCAACAAAAATAATAATAATTATACGAACGTCGTATTATAATTTTATTATAAATGTATAAAACTATCAAGCTTTTAACAGGAAAAATTAATTCCCAATCTATAAATAGACCAAAATGAAATTAAATTATTACGCCAATGATAATAATAATTAATATGACATAGTAAACATATATAAAAAAAAAAATTGTGGAATATTGATGGTCATTATTTATGTTATGTTTAAAAAATCTGTATTCCTAATCTTAAGATTTCAATTATTGGTAGATATATTAATTTTCCACGATAAAATATAAATTTCATCTTTTTTTTATCTAGATAAATTTTGTTTGTATTTTATCTTATCTGAGATAATTTAAATACATGCTATCTTATCTTAATCTAGATAATATTAGAGCAATAATCTTTTATCTATATCTAGATAATTTTTTCTTATCTGGTCTCAACACTGTTAATTTGTGACGTGCGTTATCACTTATCAGTTATGCGAGAAAGAAAATTATTTTTTTTGTGTTTGACGTTTAGAACGTGTTTTGTCTGGAATGACTTGTATTTTAATTGGCATAACCTAGTTTGATTAGTAATTTTATTTTAATGCATGCTGAGGGACGTCGGATTTTAAAATGTCTTACACATACCGACATAAGTAGGTACTATATTTATTTCTATGATTTATAAAATATATTATGGTTTTGCATTATGAGACATTTTTAGACGAAAAGTCTTAAATATTTGTGATTTGTCTAAAATTATTCCATAGTATTATACTGTAGTCGAAAGATTTATAAATTAAATATTATATGATTGAAAAAAAACAATAATTTAATTAATATTTATTAGTTAATTTGTTATATATTTCATATTGTTTTAAATATATCCATTTTTCCTAGCGATGAACAATGGTTTAGCGGTTAAAAAATTACAAAAGTTATATGAAAAATGACCTGCAATAGGTACCTAGCTATAAATATTTAACAAAATTCAGAAGCAAATTATCTTAATTACTTATCTATAGTCTTACAAAGAATACTTTTATTTTGTATTCGGAATACATATTCAAATAAATGAGAATTAAGGTATTCAGAATAGATTCTTAAAAAATATATTCAGAATACATATTTGAACACTTTAAAAAGTATTTAAATACTATTGAAATACATTTTTTCACAACTAGTTTTTGTCAGCTTTCGAATGGTTGGTAATTAACATTTATTGATTAATAATTAAAAATACATCGTAATGAAAAATTATTTATACATTTTGACCATATACGATATTGCCGATAAGGGCCATACGGGATACAACACTTTGCACAATAAAATTTATAAAAAAAAAATTTAGAATTTAATTTTAGAATAAAATTAATGTTCATGATTTATAATATGTCTTGTCACAATGTAAAACTTTTTTCTGAATAGGAAAAAGTATTTTTTTAATGAATAAAAAATACAAATAAAAGTATTCAGAATACGTATTTGAATACTTTAAAAAGAAAGTATTTAAAATAGTATTCGAATACAAAAAATGTATTCAAATACTTTTGTTCGAATACGTTACAAGACTGTCTATAGGTAACCTAAATATGTGGTATGGCTGAGTTTAACAACGGCCAATGTTTAACATTGGTTTAACAAAATAACAGCCGTTATGTTTATTTTGGATAATTGAGTTTACGATTGTAGTATTACCAGATTCTGAGCTTGAGGTTGTGGTTTTTAGCTTGATATCAACTATTTCAGGTTTGACCTGTTTGAATAACGTCTTCAGTGGCTTATTAGAATTTGGACAGCTCAATTTTTCGATTATTTCAGATTGTTTCTAGAAAAAAATAAAACATAGATTTAGTAAACACATCGTACAATTTTGTACATACAAATGTACAAAAAATACGTTAGGTATTGGAATGCATTTACTATTTAGTAAATATGATATGTGTAGGTATAAAGTAATATAAGATATAATATTATCATTACAACTAGCTAGAGCACTAGGGAAAAATCAAATGGAAATCAAAATTAAATTCCAAAGAACAAATAAAGTTTTTTAATAAGAATTAAATAATTCAACTGATCGAAAAAAAATGTAGGCAGGTATTACAGTGCCTATTAATAACAGTTTTTTTTCAATTGAATTTAATGATATTAAATTTCTTACAAAAATGATTCAAACATTCCTACTGAGAATACTAATATAGTTAATGATAGGTTAATGATAAGTAGTAATAAAGATAAATAATATTTTTTGTTCATTGTGGAGGATGGCGTTATGACTGTCTTACAATTGGTAGATAGTCGTCATTTGGAATAAAATCAAAAGACACTCTTCAGTAAGTATTAAGAAAGTGACTATACATTTTACCAAAATGTATTATAATGTTTCCCAAAAGGTAGCTCTGTTTGTACAACCACAGCAGTATTATTTTTCGAATTTTTTTTTTTTGACATTAAACAATGAAATTAAGCTACCTAATTATACAGCTGCAGGTAACTACTTAACATGGTTACCTGTCTGGTAATTACATAATAAATACTATAGGTATATAATATACGTATACTTATACAATATATAATATTGTATACATACACAAATTAAATAATTATTAAAACAAACGCAAGTGTGTGTAATTATAACTAATAATATAATACCTAGTTTTATATACCTAATTATTATTATTATATAAATAATATACATTCTTACACTAGAATGATTTATTTGGTATAATATATACGATGTAGGTACATGGTACAATATATGTATAGAATTTATAATAATATGCATGTACATGGATATGCGGTAGCTTATTTTCCCGGGTTGAATAATTCGATATTGTTCGTATTACTCTCTACATTCTCAAATTGTTTTAATTAATTTAGCCATCTAATAAATAACAATTTTAATCATATAAAATTAATCGTACATTTTGAATAGAGGCTTTGTCTATATAGGTACACATCATAAAATTGTAAAACCACGTGGAAAGTTAATCAAATCAATTCAGATTTTATCATACGTATGTACCTATATAATACCTACCTAAAAAAATGTAAATCATATATTATTCGAACTTCGAAGGTAGAATAATAATTAGGTAATTCTGTATTTAAAAAAATTATATTTCTATACAATATATTATATAAATATATAATATGTAATATGTTTATTTTATTTATCTACTATTATACTACTTATATAAATAATAATATGCATTATATAATGCTGTTTAAATTATATTTAAAATTGAGAATTAGTGTTCCGATTAAATTAAAATTTTTAAGTAATAAATTATTGAAACTTTAAATAATTACTATTAAAAGTATAAACATATTATATCAATATAACTATAGTAATATCTACTATAGGTATCACATTTTAAAATTGCCATCACGCATAACTTTTTTTTTCATATAACTGATTGTACCTATTTGTTTTTGTATTTTAAATATTTTGACTACAACAAACCATGTTTCCTTTGCAAGTAACATTTTTGGAGACACCTGGACTGCATTCCTTAGTGAGTTGAATGGCAGGACGTTCCGGCAAGAAAGTTACTGTCATACCTTCCATCATACTTGTCATGCAACCGTTATTCTTGGACGCCCAATATGGAACTATATAATATAACACTGTATTACTTTGTGCACAGTTATAACACTTTATTAAATAGGCAATTAATTAATTTTTTGTTATCTAATTGTGTATGTACTTTTAGTAGGGCAGCGTAGGACTCTGTACGCCTGTCTTAATAAACTGTTGTAAATTGTCAAATGTTAAATGTTAAATGTTAATGTCTTTGTTCCTCATCAGTTAAACTATTGTTATTATTAAAGCATTAACCGTTATAATTAATCGTGTTGTGTTCGTTTACATTTTATCAAACAACGATCTATAACACATATAGATACGCAGTTCAGTGAACGAATTGGAAAGTATATAAAAGGATGAGGATTCCTGGTAGGTAGGTAAGTAGGTAGCAGTGGTGATTCCATAATTGGGGAACTGTGCGGGTCGGCTATTTTTGAGTGGATACTTTTTAAGGCAAAAAAATAGGATCATATTATATTTTTAAACAGTTATTTGTAATTAATATTGAAAACATTGAATACATTTTCTATTTTTTTTCTTCAGATAACATTCAAACATAATTTTTCTTTTTTTCATGTGGTTAAAGGTTTCAATGATTTAATCAAAATATATTATTTTTTTTTGCATTAGGTACATTTATTTATGCTGAGTGTTTCCAGGTTTTACAATCTCTATTCAGCTATAGTTGAGTAGAGGTTCATTTTAATTAATTTCAGCCGATTAAGATTCGTCTCAACAGTCTCACTACTCTCGGGTAGTGTATAATACATTTTATATAGGGTGGAGTAGGTGGATAACATTGGACAGAATGAAATGATAGTAATCATACATTTTAAATCTCCATTAGTATTTGTCTTCAGTTTATATTTATCTGACAATAAACAGAAGAAAAAGATTTCATTATTCTGATAGGTATCAAATTTTCTTAATCAATATAAAATTTATGGATTTCAGTGAGCAACATCGGACAATAAAGGATTTATGATAGTGATTAGCAGTCGCGTCCGCAGGGGGGGGGGGGCTAACGGGTTGCAGTCCTTATTATATTACTTAAAAAAATAAATATTTTTCAAGTTTCAAATGTCAACTATGGTAAGCAAGACATAAATTTCATATATGTCTTACCAGAATGAATTCATTTTTGAAAAAACATCGTATTTGCATACCAATTTTCATAAATTAGCTGTAATTGTTCGGTAAAAGTATGAAATACTTGTAGAAAAGACCTTGTATTAAATTGTCTAGTCTTAGCTATACAGTATACACATTTAATATTTTATAAGTTTTGAACAACAAATTAACTGTGGTTTTGACGAAATTTGAAATTTGAACTTTAAATGCTTATAAAAAAAAGGTATGATGCCTTTGTATTGTAAATTTTTTAGCTATAATAAAAACTTACTTACTACATTTTTAAGCTTTTTGATCGGATGAGTAATTTTTTTTTGACATTTATAGAATAAAAAATGTTAGTTAATCAAATACAATCCAAGTGAGGACGGTATAACCACAGAATAGATATTTAATCTATTCGGTGGTATAACCATGCTGGTTACCAAACAATTTTAATAACATTTTCATTTTTTTTCTCTAATTATGTTAAAAAGCATTGAGTATTTTCAATTTCGACCTGATAAAAGTACCAACTATATCCAATTTGCTTCCAAAAACATAAACCGGGCATCGAAGCTTATGATCAGAGCGTTTTTTCTACCAAAAGAGTTGAAAATTTACAAACATGTTAAAATACCTCAAATAAACGTTTGAAATCATTAGACTGGACAAAATAAAAATTACTAATTTTCAAGCCCTCCCCCCCCATTGAAAAATCCTGCGTACGCCAATGGTGATTAGTGACTATCAGATAGTCAACAATTCTGAAACAACAATAACGCAGAACGTCCAAACATGACTAGCTGGTCAGAAGACTCTTTGTTTTGGTTTTATTTTTGTATAATTTATATAACATTTTATCAGTTCTGCGAATGAATAATACAAACTCTCTGGGATTAAATTATTTATTATCGGCTAGTGAGTTGATAATCTTATCTGATCGGTCATAAGTCATAATTCACAATATATCTATAAATCAGTTTTTATTCTATGCTCTATAGTCTCTAATATCTGATCAATATTAATTAGGCAACTATTATGATACTACAATAGCTTTCGTTTTATGTAGGTATAATACTACTTATATATACGGTCCAATGCATCTGTAAATGTTAATATATGGAGCTCAATTTCATGTAAGATATGAACCGAAATTTCTGGGGAAACATTTACCAGCAAAAATTACTGTGTCAGATAATCAAATTTAAAAACAATCTTGTCCACTTTAATGAAAATTGTTAAGATACGCATAAGACCTTAGTTTTTTATAGTCATTTAAAAATATCAAAATATAATTGTATGTACCCTACATATAATTAAAATTTGTCAAAAATCACAAAATTGTCAAATTATTTTGTAGTAAAAATGTTAAAACATTTTTAATTTAAATACCTACAGCTTGAATATTCAAGCTATAATAATCTATATATATTCATATATTTTGTATTACCTATAATTGTATTAGGTAGGTACATTACCTACCTAGTTATTAAACGTTGGCGTGCGAGCTCTAATATTTTACGTTTCTACCTTGACTTTGTATAAACAAATTAATAATATATCCTTTTTTTTTAATCAACTCACTATTAACTTATATACCTGGAAGTTCGCAAACGAATGATGCTACTCGGGGCCTCCCAGTGTAAGCTGTTGCCATTTTGAAGTGGCCGTAGGGCGGTGACAAGCAAAACTGGGTCCGATGAACGTGGAACTTCTTCTCTAAAGTAACCGCTCCTTGCAAGTGGCTGGTAATTACTGTGGGTATAAATGTATTAAGTAGTTGATGAATAATAAACAATCGATATTATTTTATGTAGTTACAGCCGATAAATACAATAAATTTATAATTATAATAATTTTTGATTAAATTTTAATTTTAAAGTTTAATTATTTATTGTAATTACATCATCGTCTATCGATTTTAAAAGGTCGCAATGCAAGTAATTTTTTTTCAATATTAAAATTCTTACGTCCATGTGAATTAACTGCTTCGCTGTTCCGCTTCAAACCAATCCAAACATTCTCGATAACGTCTAATTCCTTCAGATAACTACGTATTGCCTCAAACTGACTGTTAGATTCAACTGTACATAATTCATAATATGATATGAAAATCATACATATTACATAAACTGTATTTTGGTTTTAAAATAATCATAATTAAAATTATATTTCAGTTAAATTATTGTAATAACATAGACCATAGTAAATAAGACATACTATGACTGATATATCGAAGCCCATTGTTAGTCATTTGAATAAAATAGCAAATATTCTTTTAAGAAAACAATTGATCAAAGAACATTCATTTCTTTGAAGAAATGTTCTTACAACATTTACCATTATTATATTGTTGCAAAATTATCCAAAGGTCTGAGTTGTTTATTGAGATGGAGTTCCTTACTTTTTTTCTTAACAATATGTTAACTTATAATATAAAACCCACCAAAGGAAAAAATACAAAGTTTAACGTTTATATTGGAAATATGCGATAGAAAAATAACTGTTTTAATGTCTTTGCAAAAATAAATAATATTGATAAATACTTTCGATAAAAAACAGTATAAAAAGTGTATTGTAAAAATTTAAAACGACTGTAATGCAATTCGAACACCACTACACTTTTTATTATTATACATAGATTATATTTAATTAAAAACATTTTATAAATTTAGGATTCTATATAATTTAAAAATATAAAAATAAAAGATACGAAATAATGAATCAACAGCAAATTATAATACTAAATACATTTAAATCACAGTTATTTTTTTTCGTTTACCTAGCGAAATTATATATACAACAATAAATTATAATACTGGGTAGGGTAGGATATTTAAATATTATTACATTTTAATTTATAGCAGGAACATTTTTTTTACCCATAAAAAATCGTATATACCTCTTAACTTATAAATATTTAAATTTATTATATTCAGTGATTCGGAAAAAACCATTTGTTTCTGTAAAGTCAAATTGTTTGTTTCAGAAATCAAAAAAGTTTGCATACCAAAGAACCACATTTCCACTTCATTATTGTCCTGAAAATATGACATCTTATATATATTTCACGCATATATTATTATGTAATGCAGATAAATTATAATAATATGTTAAAAATTAAATTGTAAATGAAAATACTCGTATTTAACGATCATGTTAAAAAAATAAATATCATTTCTGCTTCAAAATGTATTCTTTAGCAAACTCGTATCCATTTTAACAGTTGATTCACCGTCATTATTATACATCCGATGTCATCTTAGGGTTCGTGCTTATAACATGCCGGTTAAGAAACTTCCCTCCTTCTCTCCTCCCTCTATATCCACCACTAATTATATCAATAATTCATCTACCCTTTCCCACGTACGTATTACAAGTTTTTCCCGCCTTCAACTAATAAAAATAAAAATAGGGATTAGCATGTTATTATAACATAATATAATAATTGGTATACAAAATAATATAAATAAATAAATCCTATTCTTTGTTGCCCTCCTGACATAATTTTGTTTTTCCAATCGAATTCAGTTCTCAATTATTAATATAGTTAATATTTCGGCCCATGAGGACATATCAAAGTTGTACAAATTATTGATTTAATAAACGAATAAACGATAGTGGTTAAGCAATGTGTAAAAACAGTTCAGCCCCCATGTAGTGATGCCACAAGGAAAAAAAAATATTGCCAAAATAGAAACCGAAAAAAGCAATTTATAAGATGAAAGAATAATTACCGAAACTAGTTAAATATATATATTATTATATATATTATATATATATATTTATATATTATATCGACATTTAAGAGGTATCGTCCAAAATATTTAAGTTATTCATATATTATTTTTAATTATTTATTAACATTTTAATGTACTATAACATATTATATTGGCAATTAAATAGGTAATAATTTCATTGTTTTAAGTTTAATTGTTCTAGTCACCATTGTACAAGGGATTAATTTTCCTCACGTTTAATTTCCAAGCCCAATGGTCGGTGGTCAATTGTACTGCATCTAATTGTCCTAGATCCGTTTTCTATGGATATGATGTAGACAAAACAAAGTGGACATAGTTGATTCAATAAATATTATGACGAATTTTTCAAAATTTCCGATAAAAAATATTGTAAGGTCGATGTAGACAGGTATAATACGTGTAGTAGGTACACTTCGATCTGTATAATGTAACAATTATTATTGTCTTCCTACAAACAAAAGGTATACTTATTTACCTGTTATGTTTGCACTTTCCATTAAAAAATTTTTTTCTTGTTAATAGGTTTGTGTTTCTTATTGTGTTTCCAGTGTAAAATTGTTTGAATTTTACAACGTTTTAATGATGTGTTCAATTTAAACTTTAAATTATTTACCTAGGTACGTACTTCATTATTTTACCTAATATTACATAAAGTAAAAATGATATTTTTTTCATTATTATTATTCAACTATCGATTTTTTTATTTTGAAAACAAATGATATATTTTTTATTCATTTTAAAATCTACTACATTATACTCGATCCATTTAGTATACGATGCATTTTCGTGACTATAGTTTATAGCATATAATATAATTATTGTAGCAGTAATCTATAAACAAATTTATTTTAAAAAATGTATTAACTTACGAGTTATGATTGACATGTAAATCTATGATAAGGAATTTAAATATTATATAATACATAAATAAAACGTTTCGATAGACAAACTGTGTACACGATCCAGCAAGTTAATACGAAGCAATAATTTACACAATTGTAAAAAAATAAAATGTTCATCTCGAATTATAAAATAACATGAAGTTTAGTGTATCTGCAGGTAACGAATAACAAATTATCGTTATCGAATTTTTAATACCACGTAATAATTATGGAAAATGGTGAATAGCTTTTACTTTTAACTTCACAATATCAGATTATATTTCGTTGTTATTTGCGATTTAAAACAAAAGTAATCAATATATTTTAATTTTCGCCGACCTCAAAATTCAATTTTAACGTTAACCACGTGTATTACATTGAGTGGCGTAGACATTTTATTAGATTTTACCGTAAAATTTAGTACCACCAGGTCATATAGTAACCTTCTCTATTATTATTATCTCTATATTCTTTGAAGTTATAGAAACAAAGAATAAAATAATTCACCACAATTGTTGTAGTGGTTTATACGGGTTCATAATAATTATGACATCGTATTTTAGACTCTGAGCAGACAGATGAATGTATAAATTTAACAATGATGTGCGTTTTAAACATTTTTTTTGTGTCTGTCATCACTTGAATCACTTTCAAAAAACATCAATTTATTGCAGGAACTTGAAAATGTCCTCTGTTCTTAAATTATTATTTTCTATAATACTCAATACAATTTAAAAACACATAAACTAATTCTAAGCGATTTATACTTAAGTATATTCATTTTAGATTTCGAGGGGATGAATTGATTTTAAGATGATATCATATATTATATATTAACAGCATTATGCATATAAAGTATTTATAATACGAAATTTTTTACGTTAAAATTATATCACAATTTATTTATTTCGGGATTCAATCTACGTATGAATCGTGAGAATTAATAAAATTAATGAACAAATATCAAGTCTAATAAAAGTAGTATAAATAAGGTCCGCAAGTTAGTGGCGATATTGCAAGCAATAAGAAAAAAGTTACTAGACTCACTTTTACCTATACACGTATTTTCTGGCACTGCAGATTAATGGCCGTGTGCGAGAAGTTTTGTTTCCATTTAGCTCTGGTTTAGTGCAACATTTCGATTAGAAGAAACCCGGTATATCATCTATTATAATATTATTCGGGTCTTAGCTCTAATTTGACTTTCAGCCGTCACTATTCGTTGCGACATTACCCAGGTAACACTGGGTAGAAAATAATGTCTTTGGTATCTATATATATATATCGTGCACACTCTGTATACAAACACGATTTGACAGTTTTCCATTCTTCATTCTGGTTAAAACGTTGCATTCTGACCCCGGTTGGTTCAAATTTCCTATAAATCTCGTTGTCGAATCGTTACCACCGCGGGAAAAATTTTTTTTTTCTTAAATTTTCCTCCAGTATGGTTTTACATGTTTTGAACTCGACCTAACGGCCATTTCACCTCACCTCACCAACCCTAGTACCCCTTGAATTTTTTTATGTTAATAAAAATTGTTCACTGCATTTTTTTGCGAAACTAGGTCGTCTAACAACCTTCACTAAAGCACGACGACAGTGTAGTATATTCATGTCGTCTGGCGTCTGCTGTTCGTATCATTGTACTGTGATTAATCAGCCGGCAAGTGTTGTCAAACACTATAATATAAAAGATAGTATATACCTACCGAAGACTATGCTGCAGGTGCTGTCGTAGGAAAAACGAATCCAGAGAGAAAATCCACGAGAAGATTTTTCAACAAGCATAATTTATTTATACGCTGCCGTCACATTGCAGCCGACTAGAACGGCGAAAAGAAATAAATATTTTTCACCCCACCACCCAGCCATGTTGGTGTGAATTTTCTCTTCGTACTATATCGTACATGATAATATAATATTTGATAATAGGAGGTATATTTGTTCATTGGTCAATGTTTTGCTAACAATTTTAAATAAAATCTTTGTTCCATTTTTGAACTACGTTTTTAATATAAAAATGAAAATAAAAATAGTTATTGACTACTTTAATCTGCACCAACCACTTGCGCACAAAGGGCTGACAATGAAACATGGTAGTGCCCGTCGGGTTTTATTTATTTGTCATTTGGTTTAATCTACCACAAATTCGGCAGTCGGATTCGTCAACGTGGATTATATGTTCGAAAGTCACATATTCGAAAATCTTTGTTCAAAAACTCATGAGGACTTCGTTACGGAAAATCCTGTTGTTGAAAAATTGTTCTATCGAAGAAGATGTTTTGAAAACTATAACTTGTATGAAGTATACAAATAACATTCTTTTTTCAATTTTTTTTTTTTTTAAGTAAAATATTATAATACCTATCTAACTATACTAAATTCCATGTCTAGTAATTTAGACTTTTATCAACTGTGGAAGTTGTTGAAAATTGATAG